AGTGGGGTGATGGTAGTTTGAAGTGAGAAGTCAACTGCCAGTTAATAGACTTTTTTGCCGTAAGAATATACGTTGCCGAGGGTACACCACGTGGAAGTAAGTCTATCGCACACCCCGATTCCCTGTAATTAATAATGTGTATCTTAATTTTTCAATGAATTATTAATTATATATATAATTCAGATTTGAAATAGAAAATTGACATTTTTTGATTAGCGGTAAAAATAAAGTTGTTTCCAAGGCGAAAGAAGTGACCTTGTGTAATAAAATTTGAAGTTGAGTACCAATTTGTTAATTATATGCGTTTTATCCAGAATGGTCACTTAAATGAGATCAGTAATATTAACACTAATGACATATGGCATGCGATAAATTTAATTAGAACTAATAATATTACTATAGTATGCGGAGTTAGCCCAACTCCAGTTATTAGTATTAATCTGTTCTTGCACATTTCTTTGAAAACGAACAACGAAGAATGAAACATCATTTGGTAATCAAGTGAAGGTGAATTTATCTTATCAAGGATCTGAAGTAGCAAGGTTGGAAAGACGCCTAATGAAATTGATCCAAATTAATGTTGAAATAAGCACTCATGAGAATAAGTGCTCATCAAATCAATCCTTTGTTTATGTAAGATATCATAACTTTTTCGCCATTTGTCAATATTTCTACTACAAGTTTACTCAAATCAATTTGCTCTATTAATTGATGATGATCACCGCAATTTTTAGTCAATTATATTAACATGTTGCATTTGATCGAAGAATGTTAAAATGGCTAGAATATGGCGTTGATTTAAAAAATAGCCAATCAGAAAATTAAGAGAATGTAACAATGAAAACAATAGATAAATAAAGGAAAAATAAAAAATAAAAAAATAAATGAATAAAAAGACAACACTTTGTTTAAACCAAAATAGCCTCTGGCTGACTTTACATTTCTACAAAAGATTGTGATACGAAGTACTCGAAAGTACCGGTAAGTGCTAAATACAGGTCATTCCAAAGGTGTGCAAGAAGTGGATGAGATTTTAAACCAAATTGATTTACCACCATCTCTGTAAGTTCCATGTCGAAACTTGATGACTGAATGCCACATCTTACTTGCAATTGACTGCAGTGGGTCTTAGAAATGGTCTCAGGGATGAAGGAAATGTCAATCTGAAGCACAAACAGATTACTGCCTATTTTGTTACTTTAACAAACAAGCATAACAAATAACAATTGATAATCCATGGTACGCAATAGCAGTGGTTAGCGTAAACGAGACCATGCTCATCAGGGAATGTGAATGCAACTATCGGATGGATGAAAAGTGAGACGATTCGAAGTTGGTCATACGAGAGAAGCCCCACCAGGGCAGTGAGCCAACAACACAACCAGGCACACACACATACACACACACTTGACAGAACACTTGGCAGACATTCATGGTGATGGTTGGGAAAGTTTACAGAGTGGGTGTTCAAGTTAGTGCATTAAGACCAATGCACGACCCACTTTCCTTAACGCACCCACTTCTTAGTTGGGTTCACCTCACCATGAAGACTAAACGCAGATAATGTGTGCACATATATTGGGTGGGCAGCATTGTCAGTGGTTAGTGTTCAACCAATTGGCTAACGAGTCTGTAGTGATTCTTCAATTTCGTGCAACGTATCCCACACCAGGCTTTTGGGAGGAAAGATACATCTTCCAGTCGATCACGAAATGATCTTTTCATCAACACAGTCTTGACGACAAAATTGTCTCCCTGAAGTTAATAGAAATGTTGCCGATTTAGGGTAATAATTCAGGTAAATTTACGCATCCGAATGAAAACGATGCTATTTCTAAGACAACAATCGAAAGCCGAGGATGTCTCGTGATGGCAAGTTCTTGAAGGTAGGCATTTCTGCTGGCCAATGTCATACGTGAGAAAAGTGCGATTTCTTTTTCAAAGGGGAAGTTCAACTTGATTTTTTCTTGAGTGCCGTTGATGTTAAAAGTATTATTTCGATACTTTTGTGGGTTTTTTAAACACAAGAAATAATCTGATTCACCAAGTCAAGTAAACTGACTTACCATAATGAGCAAGGTTCATTCATAATTGGTATTAACTGGATAGTAGAATTCGACAAATTTTGAATTAAAATTGCTTTAACTGGGTTTATTTAAAAAGGCCAAGAGTATTGCCGTGTTCAGTCTACTACGACAAAATAGGCGAGGTGGACTGTTTCCACATTTCCATACCTCTGTGTCCAATCTCACCTTCAAATCAAGTTCCGTGGAGAATTTTTTATGTCTCGTTTTGCAATGGAATCGCATGCCAAGGAACACAATGCGAGCAAAGAGGAGGCTTCTGATCCGCAAGTCTTAGATTTGTCGATTAAGGTAGAAAACTGGCGTTTTGAATGTTCTCGATGTAAAAGGAAATTTTCCAGCAGTAGATTGCTTCGAGAACATTTCGTTTCAGAGCATAAATTGCCTGAACCGCATAGGTGTGATGAATGTAAAGCATTTTTCGCCCACATATGGTCCTTGAATAGACACATCCTGAACTTTCACTCAAAGCAACCAAATACTCGACGTGATCAGAGTTATGAAATGCATCCCGACAAACCTTCTTTGCAGTCACAAAAGAGAAGGTCGGATGACGAAGTGAAAAAGTACCAATGCCCAAGTTGCACGAAATCCTTTATAGGAAAGCAAGGTTTGAAGATTCACGTTGATGCAATTCATTTACAGAAGAGGCATATATGTAACATTTGTGGCAAATCTTTTGCCTACAAATCAGCTATGTTAACACATGTCAATGGAGTACACAAAAATGGCAAAATATATCGATGTCCACAATGCCAAAGGTTCTTTTACCGAGCAGATTATCGGAACCGACATTTTCAAAACGTACATGAAGAAAATAAACAGCATGCCTGTACTCTTTGTTCTAGGCAATTTTTCAGAAAAGTTGATTTTATTAGACATATGCGTTTTGTACATAAGAAATCGCCTTAATATGTCTGAATACGAGGTTTTAAATAAACAAATTCCTTTGAATTATTTCAACTTTTCGTGTGTGACCATATTGGAAAAGATCACTTGTTCATTCACTTTGGTCTAGTGGTGAAAATCACCAGAGTTTGTCCAGATTGTTTCAAATTAGCAAATACTGACCACTTCAGAGTCGACTCAGAGTCGAGACATCGACTACCATAACAGTTTTCTAGTGAATGTCACTTTCCTAAGGTGGAATCCAGTTATTCATATTCCCCACCATTCTGCCCAGGAGATTAAAATGCGTTATACGACATTTTGACAATTGAATGTCCTAAGAGATTCAAGTAGATTCCATTGACAGTTCCGAATGTTGCCATCTATTTCACCAACCTCCATTTGAACGATCCTTTGTAATGCTTAATTGGAGGGTGCATATCACAATTTAGATCATTTTAAAATGCTTCATCACGAAGTGTGGGACTGATGTAGTGCAACTAAGGGCCTTTGCGTTACACTGTGGTCACACTTGGGTGAAAGTGAGACGTGATGGATAAAGTGAAACAAAGAACAGGACAAAGAGAGTTTACCGAGCGTTAAACCAATCCTCGTAAAGTGCAAAATGAAGTACGCCTTGATGAATCTGACGATCAATGAGGCACGAGAAGAGCTAAGCAGAGGAAAGTGGTAGTTGGGGCTTGGTGTGGGAATGAGTCGACTATTCGCAGGTTACTGACTTACTTTGAAGCCAAGATCAGAAGCGTAACATGAAATTCGTTTCATTTTGGTGCATTTTTACAGAGAATATGTGTTTCATAATGTTATTTTCAGTTCACTTGATCATGTTAGAATTCCTTCTCTTTTCGCATTGGACAGTGTTACTTTGAGTCATTCAGAGTGCTGGGACTAACTTCGACAGTTGTATCAAGTTAAGCCAAAAATTGGTTGAAATCTACAAAATGGTATCGGCATAAACGAAATTCGATCGAAAAGTAAATCGTAAAGTAGTTAAAGAGTTTAACTCAAAATAACCTTCATTTTAGTGTTAAATCAGCCCCGATCTCGACACCACCTCGGAAACTGTTACAACCTTTCTTATATGTGAAGAGTTTAGAAGCTTTCTGTTTCATTCCGTTCTTTTAGCTATTATAATAGTCTGGCAAGGCGATTTATGCCTTACCCGAGGTAAGTCATTCAAAACACCGCATGGAGTTAAGATCCGGTGAGGGGGTGGGGTGGGGTGGGGTGGGGAATTGGGAGGCCATGCATACACTGAAACAGTAATAGTAAAATTCGCCTGACAACCACTCTTCCATGTGAGCCAAGTGGCCGAATCTTACTACTCCCACCTCTGCCACCACCAGACATATGCCCTCTTATGGATCACCCTCAGTCTTTATCCAGGACTACAGAGGTCAACAGTTACACTTAGGCAGCTGAATTCAGCCTAAGCCCTTTCTGAAAAAGACGCAGACAGAAGCCACTCCCATGCGCATACACATCAGCCGACTTGCCTACTTGTGCTAAGTTATGCTTGCATGCGTAGGTGATTGCAACACACTTTCAAACACCCATGCTTCAGTTCAGTTACTACCTTTCCTGTTGTGATTTGGGGGATTCTTATCCAACTGGAGCGCGACGTAGACTAACATGTGGTAATCATGTTAGGTTATGCCATAAAGCCAAATGTCCAGTGTCAGTGATGCATTTCAAGAGAGTAGTAATAGGGCAAAATCTCGCCAAAATAATGGATCCTTTCTCGTGAAAATGCCAAATCATTTGCGCTTTAATTTAGAACCCCAACCCTTCCCCTTACAAATTTAATAGACAGTGTTCACAATATCGGTGACAACATGGAATTCACTCTTTTCATGGTGCCCCGATTTCAAACTCGACAACACAACTGGATAATGGTAACCAAAAACACAGCCGTATCATAATAGATGACTCAATGGATTTGGATGTCATAATGATTGGGATCATGGAGTGCGTGATAGACTTACCCCACACATGGTACAATCTGGGCAACGAATACTCATGCGGCAAAAAGTATAGAAATTCTGACACTTCCACAATAGCCACCTTATCTTTTCCTTGACCTTTGTGCCTGTCTCTCTTACAACTATGAATCACTCTTCCATCCCCATTCTCGAATTTTCGTGACCTTGATGTTCCTCACCTTTGTAAAGTCCGAAGTCAACTTAAGGGGCTAATGATGACTATCGCAAGGCTTGTCATTTGATGATTGGGATCATGACCTTAAATGATGACCTAAATCAAATTCGCCTCATAATTTAAGTTAGGTTGAATATTTTCATTATGTGCATTCGTGTGCAAGTATCTGTGTGGAATAACAAGTTTATTGATAACAGGAGAAACGATCCTTCCATCATGATCATTTGCCTTCAAATCTGTGTGCTGTGAGCCATTAAATAATCATTATGGCAATTTTACGATTGATCTAATGATGATTTTATACTGATTAGAAACACTTGTGACGGTGCCATTTTGGCTTGATCCCCTCTTAAAATCGAGTTCATCGTCTCAGTTTGAAATGGTTTATCATTTATTCTCTCCTCATATCCACCTGATGGCCATCAATTTCGTAGTGCATTTTTGTAGCATCATAGTGTAATGTACAAAGTCAGAATTGATAATGCTTACTGATGAAATGCTAACACGTCAATTTTGGTATGTCCTAGAACACTTTGAGCATGGTCTTTAAAAAGGAGTTTATCGACTATCAATCGAAATATGCACTTGTGATTGGAACTGATGTCACTTTAACATTGCAAAATGCTGAGCTCATTCAGAAGGAAATAGTGAAAATATTAAATCGCTCTTGTATATGCTCTATAAATATATTTATAAAATTCACGTGGATAGTATAATCCGCATATTAGCACACACACACACTCACACGTTAAAAATTGTTTCAAGTTTAATGCCTTTGTGCAGAATTAGCCCAAATTCTTTTGTCCTGTGGGGTGTGAGATTGACTTGCCTCCACGTGGTGCACCCTGGGCAACGTATATTCATACGGGGTCTATTAACTGGCAGTTGACTTCTGACTTCAAATAAAAGTCTATCAATCGGCAGTTGACTTCTCACTTCAAACTAAAGTCTATTACCTGGCAGTTGACTTCAAACTACCATGAGTAAGTCTATTAACTGGCAGTTGACTTCTGAGTTCAAACTATCATGACCCCAAGTCTATTAATCGGCAGTTGACTTCTGACTTCAATTACCATGATCTATTAACTGGCAGTTGACTTCTCTATGTCATATTCGCGTCTATTAACTGGCAATTGACTTCTCACTTCAAACTACCATCGCCTCACTCTATGCCATATTCGACTATTTCCATAGTATTCACCTCACCTTTGTTCTACCTTTGTGTTTATCTCTTACACTTACCTCACCTTTCATCTACCTTTGTGTCTGTCTCTTTTACACTTCACCTTTTTTCTACCTTTGTGTCTGTCTCTTTTACATCTATGAAACACTCTTCTGTCCCCCCCCCCAATCTTAACCTTTTTCACTTTCTTCACCTTTTTTCTACCTTTGTGTTTGTCTCTTACATCTTTTAAACACTCTTTTGTCCCCCCCCCCATCTCGACTTTTTTCTCTTTGATATTCCTTATTTGTTCTACCTTTGTGTTTATCTCTTACATCTTTGAAGCACTCTTCTGTTCCTCCCTCCTCTCGACTTTTTCAATTTGATTTTCCTTCCCCTCTGTGAAGCCTGAAGTCAACTAAAGGGCTAATGATAACCATCAAGACGCCTGCCATTTGATATAAATTAATAAATTTTGTCCTGTTTGTTTCGAATGACGTTGAGAGGTGATGTACATTTGTGCAAAAAATGGTGACAAAATGGATTAGGATAATTGAAAAATACCATAATCAAGAGAAATTTTAATGTGAAAATAAGCGGTTGTAATTTCATGTGAGATAAGTAGATGGTCTGCTGCTTGGCAGATTTCATTTGTATGCAGAAGTGGAGCAGGGTGGAGGGATGTGTGCTCCTCGACACCATGGATCCTAACCATACGTAGGCCCCTTCATCTTCTTAATGTGTTGCAGAATAACAAAGTGGAGATTATTTTTTAGCCATTTTTACATCGCTCAGGGGGCTGGTGCTTTCCTGCTACGTATCTGCAACGGTGTACCATAGGATAGTGACGCAAACAGTAGCCACTGGGTCTTCGATGTGCAGCAGGCGTTCAAGGTTGTGGTTGCACCTTAAAACTAATCAGCGGATTTTTGTGTCTGAGAAATCATGCAAATGACCCAGTTATGGCGATAATGTTCTATAAATCCCCCCCCCCCTATCCATAGTAAGTATAAATCAAACTGTGATACAATCCAAATTCAAGGAGGATAGAATCTTAGCTCAAGTCAATATATATATCTCCTTTTATTAATCATTTTTAACATTTAATTATTTAAGTATATTCTAAATTTTCCACTATTAAGTGGAAGGTGAATTTAACTGTATAGAATCAATAGCTATAATGTGGGGTGTGCGATAGACTTACCTC